CACCAGACTTTTTCGTCGACTGTTTCGTTCATCGGTTCTTGGCTTTCTGAGTATTGCAGCTAAATTGCGGTATGCATTGTTTTAACAAAAGTTAATGCCATCGAACATTCAATCTGCTCTTTGGGGACGAATAATATGTATTGGAGTGTCTCATTATTTTTTTTTATTTTTTTTTTTTTTTTATAAGAGCAAAATGTTTCACTCCTTGCAATAAAAACTTTTGTATCGAGGTTGGTTCGAGACGTATCACGTGCGTTTGTGTAAAAAATCGGCTTCTTATTATTGCATTCCCATTAGGCTGAAATGTAGAAGAGAACTTCCAGTTTATGAACTTAAACTTGAGTACAAAAATTTGGAGAAACAAAACTGTATTTTTCTTTACTGTAGCGTTTCACTCGTACATTTCGTACAAGTCGTGAATCTTTGTGCAATAGTTTTCCATTCCTTATCACAGAAATCAGACATTCTTGAACAAGGGGTTAAATATACAATTTTTGGATCTTAACAAATTCTTATTTAACATTTCAAAATAAAGTATAAGATGAAAAAGTTATGCATTTTATAACAAACATTTTTTTTGTGATTTTCACTGATGAAAAAAGAATTATTTGATAAAGTTATAATTAACACAAACTGTAAGATATGTACGAAAAAAATGTTTCACGTCTTAAATAATTTACATTTGTATTGAACATGAACATCGTAAAAAAACATTATGAAATTTGGTCTAGTTATGAATATGTAAAATATATATCGTTCATAAGAAAATCTCAAACGGGAAATATCCCCATTGTTCGGAAAAGAAAAAAAAGTACTTTAAAATGTTGCAAATTTTACTGTCACGATGAACATTAAGCAAAATTTTATTAGCACAGAGTCGATTAAAAATTCCTTTTAAAAATTAATGCAAGCAGTTAACTGAAAAAAAGAGTGGCATCCCTTTGAAAAGTGAAAGTTAGTACAGTCATTCCACAGTGAGAGCTTACATGACCTTTTTTGAAATTTTTTTTTCTTTCTTTAATTATATTGTCCTTATGCTACTCTCTTCGTAAATATTTGTGACCAACTTTACATAGCCCCACTATCAAAGGTCGAAATAATTTTAAATAATACCGCAAATAAAACACGTTGAATAATTAATTATTTAAATACTCCACATCTTTTGAAAGAAACGATACTTTACAAGATTCAACTGCAAAATTTGTCAACTACAGTCCAACAATGGCTGAAAGTTTTTTTTTTTTAATTGAAATTATGTGTCAGTGCGCGTGAAAAAAAAAGTGACGTTTGACCAGTTGCAAACATGAGAAAAACTGTAATCATACCCACTAGTCGTTTGTTAAATATGGACAGAGCGAAAAAAAAAAAAAAAATGGTCGATTCAGTGTGAGTCGAGAAATATAGATCGAGTCCATGGGAGTCGGTCGGCAGCGGATTATTTATGCGTATCAGCGAGCCGGATCACCCTCTTCTTCTACATCTCCTTTTATCGCTCAGCGCAGATGGAAAGAGAGAGAGAGCTGCTGATACCACTGCGCCATCATCTCAATCAATTATTGCCACTCGGGCGAGTGAGCGAGTCTTCCCTCGGGGAGTGGGGTGGCTTTCCTTAAAAAATGGCGAATGCACTCGCCCCGTCCCCCCAGCTGGGCCACTCAAAGGGTCCGACCAGAGAGAGAGAGTAGGGGCCGAAGCAATTATGCGGGGATTCGCCCGTCATGCCATACAACCCTCGCGTCCCTCCCCTCGATCCCGGCTCGCCCCTGGCTTAATGACAGGGGAGCCACCCTCCACATAGAGGAGAGCGCATTTGGGGGGGGGGGGGTGCCATGGTGTTACCTATATGCGACGCGAATACACACCGCAACCAGCCCCCCGTGACAATTTCAACGTCCTCCTCCACCTCTATATATGTACACGTGACGTGTATAATACCTCTCCTTCCCGAGCGTCCGTCGTCTCCATTTCGCTTATTCGCTCTGCCATAGCGGATCATGCGTGCCATTCGTTGTTGCTATATACCCAGTACAGTTTGGCCCTATAGCCATTGTATATTATGATCCCGTCAAAATAGCTTCTCGTGTACCTATATACATATCATTTGTACGGATAGGGCGTTTATTTGTTCGCTCGCCTCCGGCAAACAATATCTGCCAGATGTCGAATCCAGTGCCATCATTTTAATTAATCAAACTCATCTTGAGTATAGAGAATACAGTAGCTCCGCTGTGCTCGCGTTCCGTCATCGAAAAGTGTCGTCCCCAAAGATGCAACCAAATTTCGTGCGCCAGGGTAAATTTCCTTGAATTTCCCTTCGTTGGCCTAATCGGTAGATCGATCAGAAGGATAGCAGGTTGGGAAGAAAGCACCCTTCTCGCGGTACACCTCGAGTGGGTACCTTATCCCCCCCGCGAGCACTTACCGTATCGGCGTATCTCATCCATCTTTTTCAGAGATTCCTCCGTGGAGATACGGTCCGGATTTTCAGCAGCTCGGAGGCCCTCGAGAAAAAATTAATTTCGAGCTACCTGCCCCATCAGGGGCTCTGCCCACCCTCGTTTGCTTGCGAGTTAGATCTAATCGGCGCTGCTAACGAAATCTTGCCCTCGCTTTTTCCCCTGTAATTTTTTTTTTTTTTTTTTTCGAAAATCTTATACATGCGTATACGCGTGACACGAAATTATCGCGATACGAAAATACGGAAAAAATCGCAGCGGTGACGACAAGGTATCGTCATTTCCGCCAACTTCTCAGCTTCCCTGGCTAGAAGTAGCGCGTGTCGGGTTGCAAGTTACGTAGGTATTATATCCTATACCATCAGGCTGGATGGCCCATAGAAGTGCACGTGCGTGCAAATCGCAATTGGCGAGGTCAAAACGAAGCCGTACGAACAATGTACACCTACTTGGGGGAGTATCGAAATGGTTTCCATTATAGGCAGCCTCGCGAGAGATAATGGCGTGTACATATATTGTTATCGCTGTACCCAGCTCAGTTTGGGATACGAACGTGCGTGTGCTGTTGCGTAGTCAACAACTCTTGAAAGGGGTTTATACACTAACATCGGATTGTACCAGCAACGGCAAATAAGCGCATAAAAATTTATTTCTCACGGTTCTTTGACTGATTTTCTCGCTTGGTGATCTTTTTGCTAAATTTTCATTTACCTACTCTACTTGTTTTGGTCCAACCAATTCTATATAATACTCATTTTCATTATACTTTCACTTGAATGAGACAAGTTGATTTATATACAACGCGAGAACGCTTTGGTTGTATGAGCAAACAACTTTTGCCGCAACACAAAATTTCGTGCAAAGTATATACATTGTACTCAGCAGACGACCACTGGGTTACCCACAAATGAGAGGCTGTAAATAGAGGTACAATATAGTGTGGGTATTTACATTAGTTGAATGTATATTTGTAAGTAAAGCACAAAAAGGCCACTCGAGGAAATGTTTTTTCCTGATCGCGGGCGGCTGATAATCATACATCATAGGACGTTTTGAGCTGGTCGCCGCCCCCGCCGCCTCTTGTCCGCATACTTGATTCTGTCGTGCCGGTCGTCGCAGTCCTCGTCCGGTGCACGCACGTGTGCTCTTTAAAAACTCGAGCGGCTACTACAATTCGCTATACACGAGCACAATATACAGGCTCCCTTTGAATCTACGGCAAGTGATAAACTTTGGTACAACAATGGGTGGTACAGTGGGTCCACGCTTACGTGACATGTGTCCATTTAACTTGAGCAGCATTTATTACACGATACAATTACATTTATACTACGCGCACTTACGAAGCACCAATACGAAGCTGTAATATACACGTGGATCGAGGATACACGCGTATGTTTATGAGTAACTTTGTATCGCTGATAGGTACTCGCGGGTATATACACGAGCAAAGTGACCGAATCGCTCGTGTCGCGGCTGTAGGTGTATATATGCGCGGCTATTCCCTTTGATCGGATCAGAGGAGAGGCACTGCAGCTCCTCCGGGCCTTGCAACTACACTGCAGGCTCTTGGCTAATACCTACACATCGTACAAACTTAGGTACATGTATCAAGAAGAAACAGCACCGTATTGGTAGTACAGAACTATACTTATATACATAGAGGAAGTGAAGAAGCTATACGGTGATTAGTTTGTGTATATATGTATGTATTATACATACATACCTACGCGTATAAACCCATATGCTATAAGAATGAATATGCTGGCAGGTACACATTTATGAGCGACACACGCACACGCGCGGACATTCTTAAGCAGTAGAGTTTTGCAGCCTATCGGTATCAACGCTGCTTATGCTGCTGCTGTTATACTATACAGCGCGGAAGGAGAGCAGCAGCCAGTCTTTAAAACCAGTTATTAGGCCGGTAGCATGACAGGACCCATAATAATCCCTCGGCTCGTACTATAATGCCGGCTCTCCCATGTATAAGTCCTATTAACGGGCGCGGATCCTTTCAAATCGCCGTTTACGCTGAGCCTGCCCGCCCTCCTCACTTGTCTGCCTGCCTGTTGGAAAAGTACAGAGAGATACAGAGGGCTGCATCAGCCCGGGATATTATATATATATATATTTTTTTTTTATTCTCCCACCCCACCCCTCTTTGATTCGCCTTGCCGGTATCGGATGATGCTTACAAACTTTTTTTACGTGTATAAGCTATAGGTGGATCTTTTTCCTCGTCTCTTCTGGTTGCGCGTCACATTAATTATTTTATTTTTCTCCTGCTTTTTTTTTCTTTTTTTGTTACATCGATCCCGTACGTTTGACAATTATATTTCAATCAGATGTGCTTCGATTAATTAGCTCTGCTTCACGAAATACCCACACATCATGAAATTAATTGAACCGTGAATCAAACAGCTATCAAATAATAAAATAATAATCTACAATGTAATTATTAGGTACTGTGTCATAAATATATTATTAAAATTTTGTGTTGGTCTATGATTGACAGTTCTCTTTTTTTATTTTTTGTTGCAGCGAAACTGTACGACGCCGCGTGCGAGGAATCCTTGAAAAACCAAGGTAAGTTGAACATTATGGGTACATTTTTTTTTTTTTTTATCGGCAAGTTGGTATAAATAAGTTATACCGGATGAACTGATGACCACCCTTTTCCTCCGATGCACGCACTCTCGGGCTTTTCGTCCTTTCTATAAATCATTCAAGAGCCACTCGCAGGCAAAGTGACCAAAATCAAACGAACCCATTACGCCGTTATCCCATTCCCCCCGTACATACATGTCTCCTGCTCGGTGTCGCCTTCATACTCTCTACTTCCAAAACCTAGTACCTATCGTACCTCAAAGGCTCGGTACGATAATCTTGACATCTATTTGGCATACCAAATATAAGTACGTATAATACCCCCTGGTAAAGTGCAACGTGTATCGTATCAACAGATGTAGAAAGTACGTACACATGTACACAAGCGACCCTGAGATGCATAATTTCGCGTCACTCGCATGAAAGGAGTTTTCCGTGGCAGCCATAACACGCAGGCTTCGGCGTAGCTGTAAATATTAGTCTATCCCCAAAAATTGTCACTTCCAAATTGAAACAACTGTACCTAATTTTTTTATACGAAACATAGTTCGAGTACGAAATATTTGTACGCCTGCACGTGGTGATTTTTGATTCGTTCACGCGAATTCGTAACAATCATCATCAACATAATCATCAGCTTTCCAGGATTATATGATGTAACACGTGAGGTAGCGTCATTTCAACGAGCATCGGATGAATCCAGTGGAAGCTCGAGCACACGCCACAGCTGGCGCGTAAAAAGCTCATCGTATCACGCCCCAAACTTAATTATCCCAGCATTGAGGGGCTGAAGGGGTGGAGGTAAATAACGCCCCGGCGAGCGTGAATACCCATCACTGCAACGCATCATTTGAGCGTACGGAGAGTGCGAGCCAGTGCACACACGCTGAACCGAACCGCCAGGTGCCAAATTTCGCGTCGGGCTCGGACGTAATGTAAACTGCCGAGGGAAAAGCGAGAAATTCGCTGGTGGGCCTCTGATGCGCGGCGTCGAATTTCCAGGCGCCCGAATCCATTGTGCGCTCGCGAGAGATGGACAGGCAGATATATATGCGCGCGCGCGCGCGTGTGTGTTCCTATATGTATTGTATAAAAGAGGCACAGAAAGGGAAATCTAGTGTGCACACGCATATTTGAGCTTAAAAACTGGCGGTGGGAGGTTGTCCATATAATATATTGTATATAGGTAGCTGTTGGGAAAGTAACGTGGATGCGCCGATAAAGTTCGCCGCATTATGTCCGTCCGTTTGAACGTCAGTTCATGGTGTAGCTCTACCACCAAACAGATGAGTTATTTGTATACTGTACATAACATTATGCTCAAACAGTGCCAGGAGGGTAAACATTTTCAAAAATTAAGGGACATCCGTCCAGTTGCTACATTTACCAGTTGAAAAATGGTCTATCTGTACAAAATAACTGTTGGTAATAAAAAAGTACATATTTGATACTTATTCAATTTTCATACAGAGATTTTTCAAATAGTTTTTCTACAATTGCTCAATTCCTTCAGCCAGTGCATACGCGTTCAATGTATTCATGATTTATAGACTTGTTTCCATGTTCCTATATCGTACATATATATTTGCATAGAAACGTATTAGTTTGAGCAGTACAGTTTTAATGTATTCTGATTTTCGATACAATGAAGTACGGACATAGATGTAATTAAAGTGAAATTTCAATCTTCATCGCCAGGTCGAAGCTTCAAAAATCCTGGCACATATTTTACTTGATTATACCAATGAATATGATAGGTATAGGGTACAAAGTAAGAAAGTATTATTACCTCGGATAACACAAAGTACAATATTGACGTGGTTCACTTAATTAGAGTAAATTTATAATTGACCAACTGTTACAAGTCCCACGTTGATCCCACGCATCCCTATGCCTATATCAGGTGTGCTGTAGTGTAGGGTTACAGAAAATATAATCGTGAGTGTGGTTACAATCGTGTGTGCAAGTATATTTATGTATATACTATATCCTATTGTCATTGGTACATCGGTGATTCTGCGCGATGACGGCATAATATGATATTCTCGGACGAAATTTCAAACGGAAAAAGACGAATATGAGGTACGTCGGGGAGAGTTTGGGATCGTCACCGAGATTCTCGCGTGCACGTGACGCTCCAAAACCCCCGACTAATTATCTCATTCTCGTTTGCCGTAATAATAAAACTCGAATGATCCGGGTGATATCTGCAGAGTCCCTCTTCGAAGCACCGAGAACACAAGTACAGAGAGCGAGAGAGAGAGAGAGAGAGGAAGAAGAGTCGCTGCGTACACAGGACTTGAAGGAGAGCCGTGCACACCTATACAGGTTGCCTATATATATACACACATAATGATACAAACGACGCGATTTTGCGTGCTTGGATCAAAGGGGGAGGTGGTGGTAGGTCGGGGGGTTGGCGCGCCCGAGCGAGCGACAGAGACGGTACGAGGGTCGTGGGGTCGCCATGGCGACAGGCAGCCCCTGGGAGCCAGCCGGGGTTGGCTCAAAGGGTGCCTCTCTCTCTCTCTCTCTGGTCTCCTCCACGGTATACATACATACATAAAGGTATAATACGCCCGTGCAGAATTGGTTGCCTCGCCCGTACTCTCTCTCTCTCTCTCTCTTTTTCATCCCCCTGGGAGTAGCGAGTGTCACCGCACACGGAGGCTATGGCGACGCTGCCACACGCGCAGGCGAGATGTATATGTATATATTGGTCGTGGCCCCGCAGGCACTGGAGCCGACACTCGCCAAGATGGCCGCCCCGACACCATCATGTCAATAACACTGCCGAGCCAGCTATATACACACGTATATAAACCCTTCAGGGCACTCTTGTACGTGCAGCCCATGGTTTCCTCAGAGCAGACATACGGGAGGAAGAGAGAGGTGTAAGACCGAGGGGCCGCGTTTGGCTAATTAACGTCCCTGTATAGCGCCCTCCGAGTCGATCGTGCGAACGCGACTTTGGAGAAGCGACGGAAAGAGGATGCGAGCCAACATCGCTTGTCCCTCGCAACTTTTGCTTCAACACATCAGCACAATGAATAATCAATTGTGGATATACGGTGTAGGTGCATTGGCATATACATGTATGCCTTACGGGTACTATAATTTATTGTTCACATCGGTACAATTTATCTATACGTGGGGTATGCACAGGTTACGGATCATCATGTTTTTTGTTTATCCACGCTGGAGCGGTATGTGCTGCACGAGAGAGAGAAAGAGGTAGGTATAGTGGCGGGAGTTTGTCGGCAAAAGTTTCGAGTGAGAGCTCTGCGCGCTCATACTCATCTCAAGTTTGCTCTCTTCAAACTATTTGGAGCAGCTTTACGGACAACTTGTCTGTCAGCAGCTCTGATTATTCCGCCCGAAAGGTAATGTTACCAGTTTCGTTGATTTTCAAAACTTTGGCGCGACTATATACTTGACTCGTGCAAGATGCGTACCTGCAGTATATACAAACGAGCCGAGACGAAAAACTAATTTAGGTGCTATTTGGACGATTGTGACAATATAGGTGGATATAGAAGCTACAAGTTCCGCTGCGTCAAAGTATACGATAGGGTAGAGGCGCGGCCACCACACCACCGATGACTGAACACCATAGTAGACCCGGAGAGGGGCGCAATATTTCTCTTGATTAATTGCCACTCGATTTCTCGACGGCCACGCTCCTCTCTTTCTTCTCGCGAGACCCTGAATCAATTTTACCCCGAGCCTGCCCCCCCCCCCTCACCATTATCAGCAAACTCTGATTTTTCTCGAGGGTATACATTTCATCGGCCGACACGCGTCTCTAGAACTACCGCGAGCAATTGTCCAAGTCAAGGTCGATGTTGCTACGGTTGGATTTGTAAAAATCGTGTGGTGGAGTCTTTCGAAAGGAAACTTTCGTGCTCGCAGTGTCAATTTAACGGTAGCCGATTGCGAACCGATGATCATTTATGTCAAGCATTAAATGTTTTAGCTGAAAGTAATGGGAGTCGAAATGTGCCCTGCCATGTTATTATGAGTATAGGTACGGTAGAAAGGAGCCATCGGTGGTTCGCCAATGTTTATACATGGGCGCGTAAATTTTACACCCCGATGGCCCACGGCCATCAGAGAGAGGGAGAGTACGCCCGCGAGTGCCTAATAAGCAAAGCAAAATGGTGCGAAGCCTCGGGCGATCGATGCACAGCTGCACGGGGAAATAATGTCGCGCAACGCAATTAGCGATTCGACTCGCGCCGCGCCACCGAATATGTTTGCCATCGCAGGTATATGCCTATATACATCACCTATAAATCTATACATTTATGTGCGTGAATGTATTCGGGTATGGCGTACAAACACAAATACGTACGCGCAGAGGCACCGAGCGAGCAGTGGTTTGCTCTCTCCTCTCTTTTCTCCTTTCGGCGCTTTTTTTTTGCAGCCAAAGCGCGGCCGCGCATACAATTGTCTCGAGCGCCACGGGCCGTGTGTTCGCAGAATGATGTGTGTATCGTATACGTGTGTATAGGGTGCCTGCATAATGATAATGTACGCGCTGTATAGCGCAGTGATGTTTGCGAACGAGCGGTCGTGCGTGTCATAAGCGCCACGTGAATAATAATGAAACGACACGCTCCCCCGCCAGCTGGACAGGTATATGAGTATATATATACGCGTATGTGTGTACGATTCGGGGCGCTCTTTTGTTCGCCGTGATTGGGTGATTCGGCCGAGTGTTAATTAGTTACGCGAGATGAAAAAAAAGCTCGCGCTCGTTTTTTTTTTTTTTTTTTTCCCCTTCCTTTGCCGGAGAAAAAAAATCATTCCGTTTTGGGTTACTGTTGCGATGCGGTGCTGGTGTACCATTAATTGCGACGAGCGAGTCGAGAGTTAAAAAGTCAGGTATTGTTTTGAAGTAGGGCTGCTCCGCGGGAGCTCTTTCTACTTTCGAATGAGCTAAAAAAACATGCACCCAACTCTCTAAAAATCTACTA